GGACCTGTCCCTTGGAGGGGCTCTGCGGAGCAAAGACGTCTCGCCTTCTTGTCCTTTCAACAGCTGAGTGGGAGAAGGCAGAGTCTTGGGGGGAGAGACCGGAGGGGGGGGTTAACTTCCCCCGCCCTTAAAGGCTCCCTCCAGGGCGCAAAAGGCAAAGCCATTAAGAGCAAAGACCATATTCCCTCCCTGTAAAAACCAACAGGGGCAGTAAAGATGAGGGGCACGTAGTGCTTGAGAAACCATCCAGAAGTGGGGGAGGAGGGGGGAACGGCCGGAGCTCTTTAAAGCTGCCGCATCTGTTCTGCAATTGCACAGGTGGCTGTCCCCCGGGATCCTTGCGGTGCTTGAGAAAAGATCCAGAAATGGGGGAGGAGGGGGGAACACGGCCACGGCTGAAGCTCTTTAAAGCTGCCGCATCTTTCCCGTGATTGGAAGATCGGGAGCCTTGGAAAAGCTACGGCGGCTTTCAAGAGTGGCATGCAGGCACTGCTTTCCTCCCCTTTATCCGCTGAATTTTCTTGGGTTCCCTCTGGGCTCGCGGTTGAAAGAGTTTTCCGTGCTCGGCAGGATACTTCGGGGTGGAGCAGCGCCAGCTCCCCCAACAGCACCAGGGGGGCCATTGACAGTGATGGAGGGGAGCCCCACTTGGGCCCGATCTCCCTGCCAGGGAAGGCCCGGAAGAGCTTCAGCCAACTCAAACATGGGAAAGCCTATTCCTCGCTCTACCAGTGGACGAAGCCCAATGGCTTCCTGGCGGACAGGAAGAAGCTGGAGAAGATTCGGAAGAAGAGGCGGCTGGTGAGGAAGGAAGCGCCAGCCCCAGCGCCAGCCCCGGAGATAAAGTACCCAGAGGAAGAAGAGTTGCTGGAGAGGGAAGAAGAGCCGTACGCCGAGACGCCTCTGAGCCCCTCCTCCGAAGGGGACGCTCAGTCCTCCACGGGGCGCTGCTCTGCCTGGGACTCAGACACCCCCTCCAATCCTCCGTACCCAGCGGCGGCTCCCGAGGAGCAGGGCCTCGTCCAAACGGTGGGCAAGCGTACCATTATACGGCAAGGCAAGCAGGTGGTCTTCCGGGACGAGGACGGCAGCGGAGATGACGAGGACATCATGGTGGATTCAGGTAATCCTTGTGGGCAGTGGCTCTTGGAGCCCCCTACAAAGAGGGTGAGAGCAAGAGGGAGGGGTCCGTTGGGTGCAGACCCTTGGAGGGTAGGGCTTTGGGGGGAAGGGATGGGGTATCTTCTCTTCTTCGGTGGTCCTCTAGAAGTAGGGAGCTGGTTGAGGAAGAGAAGGGAGCAGAACCAAAGGTGGAGAAACCTGGAGGCCAATTGGGTGTGCTGAATTTGTCCACCTTTTGGACACCGTATAGGTGAAAAGTGACTGGGGATGGGACTACAAGACCTCCAAGGTCCCTTCCAACCCTTCAACTGCGGCCTCCTGTGGTGGAACCCCAAGAAGTTCTCACCCTTCTGATCAGTGTTTCTCAACCTTTGTCCACATTTAAAAAGAGCTGCAAACCCTCCCCAAAAACCAATTGCATCACATCCCCTCGCGGTTGTGACATGGGGGAGGAG